CAGGGGGGGCTTTCTGGATGAAGCCTCCCTCTCCCAAAATGGTAAAATATAACCATGTTTAAAGAATAAAATTATCTTTAAAAGTACTATTGTTCGTCTAACTACATTTAATAGGACTTAAAGAACCTTTTAAACACCATTTCATGTACATAGTTAATTTCTGTCTTTCTTCCGAAGTAATTATCCTCGTATATACAAACAAACAAAACTCTTTCGGGTTGAAGCCACCCCAAAAATTAAATCCTGGATCCGTTAGTGATGGAGGCCACCACAATTTTTTATGAAGAGAAGAATGGTTGGGGTGATCAGTCAGAAATAAGAAAGCAAAAAATAATAATAATATTTATTTTGACAAAAATAAATAATAATATTTATTTTGAAAAAAATAAATAATAATATTTATTTTGACAAAAATAAATAATAATATTTATTTTGACAAAAATAAATAATAATATTTATTTTGACATTTGCCGACGTTTCGACCTGAAGTTCAGGCCTTCATCAGGGCTAAGAAAAGAGCCAGATAACAAGGTATGAGTATTCAACCTCCTAAAGAAAATTCCTTCAACCTCCTTCAAACCTAAAGAAAACTTAGCCCTGATGAAGGCCTGAACTTCAGGTCGTAACGTCGGCCAATGTCAAAATAAATATTATTATTTTTTTTGCCTTCTTATTTCTGACTGATCACCCCAACCATTCTTCTCTTCATTATTCACGACAGTCAACCATTAACCCCTAATTACAATTTTTTATGTTTTACTGTTGCTATTTTTATTTGTCACTAAATACACACACCTTAATACATATATTAAACTTGATTCTGTTGCTTTTCAAATTTTCTTAATCTAACAATTAAATATTAATTAATTCCAGCATTTATTTTTTTTATTTATATTTATTTGAACCCTACCTTGCCATTGAGGCAATACGGGTGTTGCGGAACTGTGTTGTTAGACGTCACTGCATAACTGCCTGCTTCTGCAATGAGATCGTTTATGGTCTTATTCCGCTCCTCCTTCTTTCGGCAGCTTCTCTGGCGCGGGTCTTCTTCTTGTGAGGTTGAAGTGTGCGGGTTCGATGGACTCTTTCCACCCATATTTCTACGAAAAACAGGTATTCTACGAAAAACAGGTATTCCTACGAAGATAGTTAACATAAGTATTATACTAGCTTCAATTTGAGTCGTGATAGCGTTTTAAAGATGTTATATTTTTGCGCGTGAGGGTGAATATTAGCACTATAGAGTGTATGTGTTACTTCCCCCTCTTCTAATCCTGAACGTGAGTATCTCTTCTGAGCCAGATAATGATCACCGTCACTCTCTAAATCTTACTGAAGGTGGTGTTATGGTTCATATGTCTTCCATAATCTTTTGTCATAAATACTGCTTAGCCGATATAGCTATCCTTTATAGCGGATGATAAACGATATTTATTGACAGTATGACTTCAGATATGAAGGGGTAATGTATACCGATTTGTCAAAGATATGAATGATATTCTATAATACGACTCGAATCGGATCTGATTTATCTTAGGATAAAATTTTCTCATAAGTATATATTTTTAAGGGAAATATGAACGGTCGTGACTAAATACAAAAAACAAACATTTTCTGTTGTGCAACGTATATCATAGCTATTCAAAAGTAATAAATGTCGTATGGATAGTAAAGAGCACTGATATTTTATTCTGAACCTTGTCTTCATCTTCCTGTATCTATGGCGCGACATTCGTTTCCAATGTTTTATGTTTTTTATTGAGCTACGTCACTAGTTTAAAGACGAGTTCTGTTCCTAAGACCTCTTAAGACCTTTGCCTACAATTTTCGAAGGTCTAGGAAAACATCTGTTCAACGATTCAATTTTTCAAAATGTTTTTTGCATTTTCATTAAGGATATGGTATTTGTTTTGCATTTAAAAATTCATTTACTGAAATTAAATTCTTAATTCCTCCTCAGTATTGTAATTTTTTAGCTTTTACTTTCTTTGAATACTTTGCATATTTCGTTATAATCGAATTTTATTAAAGAGATTTGGGATTACCGTTTAAATAAAAACTGAAACTGAATGCGTCTTTGAATTAACTATTAGATCAAGTATTTTTTTTTATGATAATGCCTCAATATCAATAGTCAAGTAAAATTTCCAAAGCTATACATATATACACTGACAGGCAAAAAAATCCACCCACTTGATTTTTTCATGTTTTCATCTAAACCTATTTCTGCTTTGGATTGATCTATTGTTTTTAATGAATAAATAGGTAATATTTTTGTTTGTTTTCAATTAGGAATGTTAATATAGAGGGCAATAGCCCTTAATCCTTAATTCAATGAAATGATTCTAGATTCCAATGTTTACTTTCTATGGAATCAAAATGTTTATTCATTATCATCAGTTCAGTGCTGTTTCTTCCAGCACAATTCTTAGTCTCCGGCTTTTAATTTTTTCAATATTAAGTTTAAAAATGCCTCTTAGTACTGAGGATGTTGTGCGTGGTGTGGCACTTATTGATGATGGACGTTCCATTAGATATGCAGCTAATGCCATCGGAGTTCCATATGAAACTTTACGAGACGCTGTCAGGCGTTTTCGGGAAACTGGTTCTTACAATAGAAGACCCGGTTCTGGACGGCCTAGGGTAACAGAACCACGGGATGACCGGTTTTTGACTTTGAGAATTTTACGAAACCGGCACCTTACCGTTATTCAATCGATTCACCAGCTCGAAAAAGTTCGAGGTGTGCAAATTTCTGAACGTACCGCTCGGAGAAGATTAAATGAGTATGGATTAATGGCTTTTCGTCCAGTAAGAGGACCAGAGTTGACCAGAACTCACAGAGTAACACGGCTGGCTTTTGCTCGACAACACAGCGATTGGACTATGGACGAATGGAGTGCTGTACTTTTTACAGATGAGTCGAGATTCGCTCTTCGATCTCCAGACGGGCGTGAAAGGGTGTGGAGAAGAAGAAACGAAAGATATGCAGCCTGTAATGTTTCCCAGAGCCAACCTTTCCAATGTGATTCCTTAATGGTGTGGGCTGGGATTTCAATGGAGCGCCGCACAGAATTGGTTGTTGTTTGTGGAGGGTCTTTGACAGCCATTCGTAATGTAGATGAGATTTTGGAACCTCATGTCTATCGGAAATCGGCGATCGTTCTATTCTTCTAATGCACGCCATGCACATGTCGCCCGCATAGTGCAGACGTTCCTTTAACAGAACAATTTGAGGTTTTAGCCTGGCTAGCACGTTATCCAGATTTAAACCCCATTGAGCATTTATGGGATAACCTCGGAAGACGAATAAGAGCTCGTGCAACAGTTCCTGATACACTGCAGGACCTTGAAAGTGCTCTTCGGGAGGAATGGGCAATCCTCCAGCAAAGGGACATTCCCCAACTGGTGGAAAGTATGCCAGTCAGCATAAATTATTTAAGGTTGTCAATATTTTCATTTATTAATTTAAATGCTATTCGTAACAGCAATGTTGCGCGTCTAAGAAGCCTGTGAACTGTGTATTTAGCGAAATGGTTTTAAATACAGTAATTAAAACCAGTTTTAATATTAAAACATTATTATTTAGTAAGAAAATCGATATGCATACTATACATAGAATAATGTATGTTTTCATTTATAATTAGATGTAATTATTTCAACTTTAGAAAATTAAAATTAAAATGTTAACAGGTATTGACTTATCTATCTATGGTTATACCAGTTTTTTTATGATAAAAGGAATTTTTCAAAATGGCCTGGGTGTGTGTGTGTGTGTGTGTGTGTGTGTGTGTGTGTGTGTGTGTGTTGTTAACAGTCTAGCTCAAATCGAAAAGTCGTATGAAAGTGAAATTGCATATTTAAGGTTTTTATATGCTAGGGATGTTACAGTAACTTTTTCGTCAAAATCGACTGACCGGAAGTGGCACTTTATATGGCTTAACATATTTTTATAATATTCTCGGAAACGGCTTTAACGACATTGATTAAATTCATTATATAAGTATAAAATTAAGTAGTTATAAATAAAATGTAGTTGTTATTCTAATTGATGTTGTCTAACAGGGCTTAAATGGCTAATTTTCAATATTCCTCAAAAGTACCTTTAATTTTTTTTATTGGAAACAATTGACTATTTCACATTAATCTCTAATATAAAAGATAGTTAAATATAAAATATGAAAGAATTTGATAATTAATTGAAGGAGAAATAAAAAATCGTAACGGAGAATAGTTGTAATTGATCCTACCCGAGCTCGCCCGAAAGATTATATCTTCCATACACAACATAAGCTTAATATAATACGGACACCGACAATATTATATAAATATAAATATGCGGTTTTCATAAATGCTGTTGTTGGTATTATTTAATATTTAATTGTATAGATTACACCAATATAAATATTAAAATTTGTATATATAAGGGTACTTATACAAATAACAATACCCACAATGAAATATAAATAATTATAACATCTATAATTTTTACTTTCATTTCTCCTATGTCGGAAAATACTTATTTCTGCCAAGAAGAGGGTGGTAAGTGAAAGTTGTGTGATGCGGGCACCGCACCAGAGTTTTTTTTTATCGAATTTCGTTGAAGTATATCAATTTCAGAAAGAAATATTTATTTTTTGAACATCCTATAATTAATTCATAATAATTAATACATTTTGTAAATTTTCTACAAAAAAAATCTAATTAGAAATTTGTATACTTTAAAACATTGAGATCTGTTATTTCTTGATCTCATTTCATTTGTCTATTCATTAATTATGAACTAACTACCTCGATTAAAATCAAAGTGTGTTTTTCATCTTTGAAACCTGTGAATTTGTACTGTTTTATTTATTTATTTTTTTTTTAATATGGTCTGTGTAATGAAAGTGGATTTGAAAATGGAAACTTTGAAATGACTTAAGTATACGTATATTAAATTTTAAAGATAATTATTTCCTGGGATATTGACTGAAATATTTTTTAAAAATCATACTAATCATAAATCATAGACTCACTGCAGGTGATTTGTTATTATATCTATATGTTTTGTATTGAGCTGATTAAAAAATTTAATGACATCTTTATTTTATCCTAAAGCTTCTGATTCCAATGTTTCACTTCTTTTTGCCTTTGCCTTTGCCTTTCTTACCTTTCTTTTTGTTTCCTTTTTCTGGCTTATCTTTTTTCGGTGGTTCTGTCATGAAGTCGGTTTCGAGGTATTGTGTCCTTATGTCGTAGAAGGTCCTGTCATCCACTGGCGGTCTGGGTTGCTTTACCTCCAGGACCATCTTCTGCCGCTGATCTGTCTCCTGATTCGTCTTTCCAACTTTTATGACGTATATGTCGTTCGTTTTGTTCGGTACGCTGAATTTCTTGGTCTCACCATCATTCATGATCCTCACGTCTTTCAGATTGTTGTTATATCCGCCTCCGAAGCTGAAGCGCGCTCTCCTGTTACCGGGTACTGGCTGGTTGTCTTGCGGCAATTGGAAGATCATCTGTTCCCCTTTCATTCCAATGACGCCCGCTGGTACTTCCATCGCTTGGCACACTTGTTGCTTTTCTTCCACTATAGGCAGTTGAGGGTAACCTTTAGGACACATCGGGTTCAAACAAAAGTCTTTCATCATTCCCAGTGGACAGTCATTTGTCTTCTGCTTCTTTTTTTTCTTCTTCTTAACAGGAGCAGGAGGCAGAAAACCAGGAGGAAGTGGATAGTTACAGCTGCAAACTTGAAACGGCAGAGGTGGGGGTCCTTCTTCGCTGGAGCTTGAATCGCTGAGCTCTTTGGGGGCCCCACCCAGGAGTCCTCCTCCGATGGGCATTCCTAGGGCTGGTCCTCCCTGGATATTGTCTGGAAACTGTCCAGGATAACTGCCGGGTACCTGTCCCGGATAACGGTCGGGTACCTGTCCCGGATAACGGTCGGGTAACTGTCCCGGATATCTGCCGGGTAACTGTCCCAGAAAACTGCCGGGTAACTGTCCCAGAAAACTGCCGGGTAACTGTCCCAGAAAACTACCGGGTAACTGTCCCGGATATCTGCCGGGTAACTGTCCCGGAAAACTGCCGGGTAACTGCCCAGGTATCTGCCCCGGATAACCCCCCGGCAGTCCCCCTTGGTTTGGTGGTACCGGTGGTTGGGGACCATACCCTCCCCACAGTCCCCCTCCGGGCATATTATGATAAGGAGGAGTCATGTTCATGGCTGAGCGGTAGCTCGGAGGACACACACCTTTATTCAAACTGGATTCGCTGTTGAGGAAGTCTGCGACCGGGATTTCGCCGCCTGGCTGTACCACATAGGCTTTACTGTCCTCTCCGTCCATTTGGAAGCTAGTTGTGATAATCTTCCCAAAACACGACAGATTAAAATTGACAGTAATGTTGCCGACCTTTTTGCACCTCTTATCGTAGAGGGTGAAGGGCTTCTTGAGATTGGCGGAGTGCTTCTTGGAGCTGGACGACTTGAGGATGTCCGCGAACTGTTCGCCGAGCTTGACAGAGGTGACAGCAAGAGTGATACAGCTGTTCTGTTCCGTCCTCCTCAACACCTTCACATCGACCTCCAGACAGCGGACCTCTCTCGGCAAGTCTCGCAGGGAGAACAAGCACGATTTTCCTGCATTTATCTTTCTGTCCCCACAGTCTTTTTCCTCCCCTATGAATTCCTCTTCTCCTATTTCTATCGGTTGGAATCCCAGGAATCGGATTTGAATGATGGTTTCCTTCAACGTATTCAGGCAGTTTTGAGTGAGACATAGTTTTGGATAGTCGACGCTCAAGCTTTCCACGTAAACTTCAAAAAGAAATAATTGTTCGAGATTTTCAGGAGCTAAAGATTTCATTTTATTTTGTATAAAGTAATTTAGTTTGTGTATAAAAAATCTAGTGCTTCATTTTTAATTTTTTATTATTTATATAGAAGTATTTTTCTCATATGTTACGTTTTATAAAATTAGACACATGATATTATCTGTTATACTTTTGATATCTCCTTTCATTATCTTGTCTATAGTTTGACCACGATTAGTGAGCATTCCTCGGGGAACTTATTCGGCAGCAAGATGAAGCATATTTAGTTTGTTTAAGCAGGTCACTGATTTTTAACAAATATTTTTTGGTGATACTACATCGAAAAATATTAGACAGAGATCCCGGCGTTTGTTCCGGGCCCTTATAATATTCATAACTTGACAACCTTTTTCCAAATTCTACTTCATTACAACCGTTAGAATGCTGATTTATTCCTATTCCAATCCATATCTTTATAACAGCATTTTGATTTCATTAATTTTAAAGCAAGGAATTAAGAAAAACATCACTTCAAATATGTTTATTTCATATATTTGTTTCGCCAGACTTACTAGAAAAAACGAAATTAAAGAGGATATTAAAGCTAGACTGAAGACGGAAAATGCTTGTTATTTTTCATTGTCAAACTACTTAGTTCTCGCCTCTTGTCCCGAAACTTAAAAAATAGAATTTACACAGCCATTATCCTTCCTACAGTTCCTTATGGATGCTTACATTAAGGGATGAGCAACGTCTTAAGGTTTTTGAAAATAAAATATTGCACAGAATATTCAGACGAAAAGGACGAGTCAACCGGAGAATGTACGCGGTTACACAATACTGAATTGCGTGAACTGTATCCGGTTATTATAATTGAGATGATTAAGTTGAGGCGAATAAAATGGGCATGTAAAATCGCTGGGCTTAGTAACAAAAGAATTCCTAAAAAGTTAATATGTGCTGTACCGACTGGCAAGCGTCCGAAGGGTAGACCAAAGCGAAAGTGGGAAGATCGCGTTAAGGCTGACCCGGCGGGTTTGGGTTTATACTGAGCCAGGTGGATGTGGATGGATGCATGTAGACATCGATTGGTGGTATCGGCATCGAACCTTCGGGTTCGCTAAGCCTTATTATTTTAATTATTAAAAATCATTATGGACTTAATTGCCCTTGTAAACTTCATTTAATTAGTCAAACATATAAAAACCTTTATTTTAAAGCTTCATTACATTACATTACATTTACAATCCCAAAATTAAAATTTACGTTATTTAAACTATCTTTATGTATTGCTAAACTAGTTCATAAATAATACATTAAAATAAATACAATCGCAGCCCTAATACAGAAAGTTTCTTCCCTTGAAAAAGGCAAAGGAGCTGAAACGTTGGTGTAAAAATAAAATAAAATAAAGCAGGACTATTGTGATCAAATATGTGCTTTTATCATTAGTATTAAGGCGAAGTCCTAACCTACAAGTTTGAATACATATATTTAATTATCTAAATTATTCCTATTGAAAATTATAGTTTATTATACTTTTGTGGTATTTTAGATATATATGTTATCTACGAACAAAAACTACCAAAACTTTATACTGTACAACGGACTGATTCGAGCCTGCCTGATATGAATATATTTTACTGATTACAGGTAAGAGAAGCCTTTCTTCGAATCTGATATTTTTAGGTTTTTAAAAATATTCTCTCCTTGGTTTTATCATTTTATTATATTTCCTTGGCAGTGACACCAACCCCTTGGGGTTTTCCCTTCCTTTTGCGATGATATTTTCTTCCGGCTTACTAAAGTAAATTATAGGATCCGACAAAAAACGTTCCTCTCTTCTAAGGCCGATATTGGAGATGAAATTGGATTAAGTATTATTTTCATCTATATTGAAAATTTTATCTTGAATTTTATTTCTAAAAGTATCAGCTAAATGAATTCGTTTTTTATAATTTTCAAAAAATCAGTACACTTCGTTTTTTCCTTTCACTTACCGGTCCTCCCCTTCCTCGCCGTTAAGGCTATACGGGGTTTTCCCGGGCCAGGCGGTGTGGGCGGCGATTTAAAAGACGCGAATTCGTGAATATTTGTATAACACATTTGTCATATATCAGGTTGCCGGGCAACGGTGGAACTTTCACTTACTTTTATATGTGATATATAGTGAAGGAAAGTATTACGTTCGTGAAAATATTCGAATCTGAGTTTTCAACGGAAATACGCGTTTTATGGTCTCCTGAGTCAAAATAACCAAGTCCCACAAAATGGTCTGTGTGTATGTAGGTGGAAAGTCTAGCTCAAAAACCAAAAGTCGTTCGAAACTGATATCACGTATTTAATATAGGTGTATGCCTTGGATGTGACAGCAACTTTTTTATTAAAATTGACTAACCGAAAGTGGCACTTTATATCAACGGTGAAACACATTTTTACAATTTTCTCAAAAATGGCTACAACGATTATGATTCAACTCGGCGTAACATTGTATAATTAAGTGGTATTTAATATTATTGGGGTATTATCCCCATTTATATCACTTTACAGGACTTAAATGCATAAATGTTCAACATTTCTTCCTCTAAAGTACCTTGAATTTGGTTTATTTATAATTAAACATCACTCATTATTAAGATGTTAAATGCTAAATATAACTTTTGAAAGAATTCGATAATTGAAAAATGGAGAAAAAAAGGGAAAATTTTTATTCAGGTAGAAAATGAATTTCCGAAACCATAGTAAAAAAAAAGGTATACGTATAACATATCGTTGAAAAGCGGAGAATTTCAGAAAAAACAAAACAATATCTATTATAGAAAGTCGTAAAACGTCACGGAGAGTGACGAAAAATTATAAATAATAATTTGTGAAAACTAATATTATTCAACTGAAAAATTAAATAAAATTTTACTAACGAAATGGAACTTTTTTTAATTTTGAAAAAAAGGTATTTAAAATCCATCTAATTAAGTCAATGGCGTTGTTTAAAAACTATTTCTGTATAAAGCGTGTGTTTATAACCTTAAATACATTTTCTGTAGTTTAATAACTCGAGATCTGATATTGGATTTAAATAACTTTTTTTTACTGGATTATTTGTTTATTGATAAATATTACAATCTCTCTCAAAGGACATTTATAATAGAGTTCTGAGAGCACATTCACACCTACATTACTTATTAAAAAATAAAAAATAAGGTAATTTCAAATAATATAAAGCTAAATAAGAACAAAATAAAATATCATAGTGAAGGAAGAAAATATAAATAACAGTAATACTAGAATGAAAATAAATGAATAAAATAGAATTAAAATTATCTTAAAAAAAAAGATATGAAAATAAACATCTTAGATGCAAGCATACCTACTTACACTATTTACAGTCGGCCATGGGTAGTTCGAACCATACTTGTCCCCTCAGATGTGAAGGGAAAGCGAGGCTTTAGGAGATCCCTGCGCTTCCTCAACCACTTCACTGGTATTAAAAGCCAGCGAAGATTGAGTAAGGGCGCTACAACCACAGACACTCGTGACTTGAGTGGAGAATCTGGCCATTGCCAGAACTCCAATATATAAATGTTACAAAAGGTCACGGGGCCACTGCCGTTTTAGCCTGCGAGGAGGATTGTAGGGATGAGTGGTGCTAAATAGGGATTGTGCTACGGGATTAGTTTGATGGGTAAGGTTCTGATGAAATTTGGAGAATTTGTCAGGGATAAGATCAAGAATAAATGGAATATTAAGGTCATTATTCAGGGTTTTATTGCTGACATAGAAGGGAGAATCGACTTTTGTACGGAGGACTTTGGGCTGGAAGGATTGAATGCGTTTGATGTTAGAAAATTTGGTTATCCTACACAGTTCTAGTCCGTAGGTCCAGATGGGTTTTAGTATTGTCTTGTAGATCAGTAGTTTGTTTTCAATAGAAAGTTTAGATTTTCTATTAAGTAGTCTATATAGCTGGCCATAACGTCGGTTCCACGTAAGTCGTCTGTCTAGGAGAAAACCAAGGTACCGGAATGTGTCGGAGAAGGGAAGCTGGATGGAATTAAAGTAAACTGGTGGACAGGAATTCGACGAAGGGTGAAGGTTATATGTTTACATTTGGATTCATTGACTTTGATGGGCCATTTGTTGTACCAGTGTTTAATCAAGGACAGGTGCCGTTGTAAGTCTGCAGACGCTGTTTCAGGATCTGAGTTGGAAGAAAGGATAGCAGTGTCATCAGCGAAAGTTGCCAGGAGTGTATCGGGATGGACAGGAATATCAGCGGTAAAGAGGATGTAAAGGATGGGGCCCAAGACGCTGCCTTAGGAACGCCAGCCTCAATTAAGTAACATTCGGAGAATTCGGTGCCACAGCGAACTCGGGTATAAGGACTGTGGTAGGTGGATTTTAAGCTTGCAGAGTAATCCGGCGTGCCACACCCGGTCAAAAGCTTGCGCTATGTCCAGAAATGCACCCGAGCAATACTGCTTACTTGAGGATATATGGTCAACAACTCGGAGTCCTTGTTGGACAGTGGAATGCTGGGAACGAAATCCGAATTGATGAGTAGGAAGGTTATAGGATTCGATTATAGGTAGGATTCGTTTCAGTAGGATCTTTTCAAAAATTTGTGAGAGGATTGGGAGTAGGCTAATTGGTCTATAGAATGCTATATTGTTGGAAGGTTTGCCTGGTTTCAAGAAGAGGACGATGGTGGAATGTTTCCATAAAAGAGGGAAGTGGGTAGTTCAGAGAATACAATTGTATATATAGGTTAGAAATATGATGGCTTTGGATGGTAGTTGTCGTAGGATCTTTGGGGTTAAAAGGTCGTATGATTTAAATAATTAGGTATAAATGTCCGTTTATTCCAAACACCGTCAAGCGAATTTTTAAAAAATTGAGTTAGTGAATAATTTCATAATACGCTTAAAATTACTGTAAAAACTTTTGATCTGTATAGTAGGCAATGAAAATCTCGTAATTTATTTGTAGTAAACTTTACAATGGAAAATAACAGTTAGTAACTAATAGCCGTACAATCCAGAATCATTTATAGCTTGAATGTAAAGATATAAAGATTTCAAATCTCTCTAGGTACATATATATTGCTCAGAGACTGGAGTTATGTGGTTTATGGAGTAATGAAATGCTTTAAAACATTTTCTTGGATGTAATTAAAATACTCTGCATGCTATTAAAACAAGATACTTAGTATTTTTAGATACTGTA